AGTGGCTTCATGAGGCATAAATGTGGATCTGAGAGTTACAGCCTGCCTGAGATCTGAGCCAGTGTTTTGAGTCTGAAACAAAGACGTGGTCCCTTGTCTGACATGAGCCTTTGCTCTGCTGCTATTTCTCTTTTTTTACTGCTTTGCCCTGAGAAAGCCAGCTGAAAGAGTCCTGCAGTTACCAGGCACAATGCAAAACGTTTCCAGCAATTTGTTCACAAAGTTTATATGTTCGGTCAAAAAATGCTACTTTACATGAAAAAAATTGGAGCAGAATGAAGATATCTGATGAACAAACGTGATTTTGAGCTATTGTATGGTTGCACATAGAGCTGGGCGATAAGGCAAAAAAAAATGATCACGATAATTTTTTTCATATCAGTCGATATCAATATTTATCACGATAAACGTAAAATCTTTCTATCTATCAATTTTATACGATTTTCAGTATGCCAATCGCTTTGTGCAGCTGATTTAACACATTTAGTTAAATGTTTTAGCTGTCTGACAATATAAATAATAAAATAATAAAAAAAAGAACAATCTAAATTCAGCATTTACTTTCCAAGTTTTTAACAACCAAAGACATTACAAGTTATTGGATATTATTGTTCAACAAGTAAAGGTGAGTTAATGGTCACAGAATTTTTCAGTTTTGGATGAATTTGGATGTATTAGGGTGAAATATACTTTAATATATTTTATTTAGGGTTGCTAACGATTACTTGGTGATCTATTGATTGTCAATAACACTTTAATCAATAGATCTTATCGATGACTGATTAAACATGGACATGTAAAGGTTTAGTTATGCTTTGCGCTGTGATACACATACACGCATTACATAATCAAGTGTGTGCAGTTTACCTTATGCAGTCACCCGCTTGACATCGCATCAGGCACGTGCACACATAGAGTGGAGGAACTATGACGTCACTTTGTTGGCTAATCGGCTGCTAGCATAAAACTGGTTGCCTCGTGAAAATCCCTTTAGGATTTTCCCATAGGCTTTTTGAAAATTGCAAATAATAAGCTCTGTGTTCAAACACAGTTCATTACACTTACACGTTTTGTTCAGCCGGATAATCCTCACGCGACAATACAACTTGGAGCACTTTTGTATCTTAAATGCAAACGCAAGAGTTAAAAAGCTAACATTAGGCTATAAATGTACTACAGTGCCCTCGGGGCGCTCGTCTGTGACGTCAGCCCCACCCTGCTACAGACAACTTATCTAGCTTAATTTTAGAAATAATGTCCATGACAAAGAGTTAATCTCTCTGTTTATTATATTATAATCCACGCTATATATTATAAACAAATAAATACACAAAAATACATAGACCTATGTGCCTTTTGGATAGTTTTTACGTGGGAAATACATCTGTTTTGCTTTGCGGTTGTTCTAAAAGTTTTAAAACTGCGTGTATAAATCTGCCTATATAGTATTTTCATCAGACATATTTAAATAAGTGTATCGCTCGCGCACACAGCCTGCTTACCTTAACAGATGAAGGAAATGAGGCGTGAGGAGGAACAAGTTTTTCAAATGGCTGCAAGTTCCATCATGATGGACACAGAGCAACATTCAATATTCCTATTATGTCACGACATACAGCGAGAGTACAGAGTGTAAATATTGCAGTTATATGACTGAGTAAAATGTGTTAAGGTGAATAAAAAAAGACGAAAAATCACTTGATCACATTAAAATGACAGTTAATATGTCTGTATTTTTACACATTTATTCACACGTTTGCATTACTGAGGGCAGGAGAGAGACAGGCTGCACTGGTGAGCAGTATCTTCATATTATAGTTTAATTAAAACAAATGATCAACAAATGAATCTGTCTCGACAGCCTTTACATGTGAAGGCATTATCTATACACAATCTGAATTCTTAATTAGAAAAACACAAAAAACTATAAAATACTATTCATGAAAATACATAAATAACAGACAAAGCCAAATGCCCAACACAAGCGAGCTGCGCTCCAGACCAGATCAGCTCGATAACGTATAATGTCTCCGACACCGCCTGTTGTCCCATTTAGCAACTTGATAACAACCGTCTTTTTAAAGAAGCATGGCCGAATTAAAAATTCAAAAGTGTGCTGTAACTGATGTGTTTTATGTCGTAGAACAAAACGTGAAAATATCTTGAATTTATGTTAGCTACGGACCTTATTTAAGTAATTTTACTAAAATCCCATTCAAAAAACCCATTGACTTTGGGACGAGGGAACCGGAAGTGCTAAAATGCTAACTCGCTTCCGGGTTTTTGCATACAAATTGACGTCATAGTTCCTCCACTCTATAGGGCTCAACCTGTGCAGTGCACATGCCCTTTTTAGTCTTGAATAGAAAGTGCCCTTCCAAAGTGATCTGAAGTGCGACACCCCCCGCCAAAAGGCTTTCAGTTTTCCCACGACCCCCCCCCCCCCCCTTCAGTTTTCGTGCGACATATACCAGTTATGCGCAGATCTCGGTTATATCCGCGGATGTTTTAACTAAATTTGTCTGACAGACTAGCACAAATAGGCCTGTGAAGACTCCTATTTTACAAATCGCGCATCACAACGAAAACATGCACGGAGCCGTACAGGTTGTTTTTTTGCCCCCATTGGTGATGCGTAAATGGCGGTTATATCTGCTGGTGCTGCGGATAAACCACAGGTCGAGTAATAAAAAATACATTATAATTAACTAATTGCAGGTCGGTTGCGGATGTATAGCGGGACATGGCAGTGGATCAGCGAAAAAGCAGAGAGTCAGCTTAGCATTGTTCACTGCAGTCTGCAGCTGGCCGCGTTTCGGAGGCGAGGCGGAGATGGCGCGGGGATATGAAAAGCGAGAGCGCGCTTTTTCCTTTGATCTCGTTTTTGGTGTATTTTGCTCACATGATTATGATTTTCGTTGTTTTTGCTTAACTTTTGTTTGGGTAAAATTATTTTGCATTACTTTTGCAAACTTTGAGAAATTTTGTGAGTTTTATTTATTTTTATTTAGATTGATTTGTACGTTATTTTTTGGCTTGGCTCTTTCCAGACGATATTGAGCTACCCTATCTCCTCAACTTCACTCTTTTTTCAGAGTAAGGTGAAAAAGGAAGATGTTGTACGACTTCCATTTTGCAAACACGTAGAAAATGTATAGTTAAAGACATCAGGTAAGAGGGGAACGTCATCTTTATATTTATTTTATTCAGAATAGGGAAGAATGCGGCGCACTGCGCTGAAGGACTTTTTTTCTTTTCATCAGTTTTAGCGAGGTAAGGGGTTATTTATGAATTAGAAATGTTTTGTTATATTTCTTATATTTTATATTTCTTACTCGAGTTCAACAATTTTTAGTTTGATCCTTTCAATTTGCTACTTTATTATATTATTTTTATTAGTGTAAATGTTGTAGTGTAAATATCCTTAATGCAGCCTGTAGAGCAAGCTTCAAGTGTTTATTGGGATATGTTTGAGATTGTGTTGTCATATATTTCGTCTGTCTTTTCGGGGGTTTTTTCTCCTAAGGCACGGCTTTCGAAAATGATGACATGAGACTCTGCTGGGTAGTTGCCCTGGTTTACCAGCACTTGTTAGGTCTGTAATTTCTTAGCATCTTCATAAGGGTGGTGTTGTTTTAAATGATGAAACAGGCTTGTGGTATTGCCTGCTTTTGATGACACGAGTTGTCTGCGCAGTTTGCAGTGCATGTTGCTGTTTTGTGTCGATGGCAAAAAACTACGTAGCTCATGACTGTGGTCTAGTGACTTTTCTTGTCTGTGGCTCTGACCTTTTTTACCCTTTTTTCTTACTCTCTTAAGTACAACTAACACTGTATGGCTTTAAACTTGTAAGGCCAGCGGCGTCCGGAAGGGCAGACTGCAAAATGCTTGCACAACGTTACACATAGTAGCCTACGGAAATATTATCGAGCAATCATCGAACTGTCATTATCATTTGATTTAAAAATTTTATATCGTGATAATTATCGATATCAAATCATCACCCAGCCCTAGTTGCACATGACTTATACAAATAATATGAATGTTAAATTAAGAATTTTAAATACTACTTTAAAAAAGTTCAGAATAATCACTTCCCAATTAGAGTTATACCAATTGATTCAAAGTGATATATAATAATTATGGTTATCATATTGTTCGATCCAATTACCTATAACTTACTACTGTAATTACTGTAATAATAATTTATTACTGTAATTATAAAACAAAAGACATAAAATAATACTATTATAAGTAGACATATCACTCAATAATACTATTAACCTGTAGTAATACTACTACTACTACTACTACTACTACTACTACTACTACTACTACTACTACTACTACTACTAATATATTTTATATAACAACAGTAAAGTTTCAGTTACTTCCATATTTGCTTCAAGAGGGAAAGCAGGAGGTTGCCGCTTGATCCAAACCCCTCTCGTCTTTTGATTGTTTTATGTTCAATATACTTGAATTTGTAAAAGTTTAATAAGTTAACTTAATTCTTTCATGTTGCCCCAACACAAATCGATTGTGTGGAACCCAGCATTTTTACAGTGTAGTTTATATAAGTACAAAACAGACTTTTAATTTTTTTAATCATTTTTTGAGTGCAGTGCTGTTTTTCACATTTAGTGCTCAGCGAGTGTTAATTCCATGGGAACTAGGTGTCTGTAACACATCAGATGAACCTGACCTTGTTAACTGTAAAAAAAAAAAGTCTGATTCGTCATGGCCCAGCCTGATATTCCTAAAATGAGCCACAGTCACAAGTCCGTCATATCAGCATGACAAACATTCAGATATAATAACATATTTCCTCTGCTATCTTACAGTTATCTCAATATAGTTCATAGGATCATGAGGTGTTTGGCGTTCCAGAGAGGTTGGATGGAAAGCAGGATGCTGTAATTTGTTCATCGCATGCTAAGTAGGTGCCACATTCCCAGGTGGCAGGTGCTGACAGCTCCATCTTGGAGGCAAAGCATGGGTGAGATTCAGTTCTTTGAAGAGAACGGGACATGATGGACTGGATTTGTATGATAGGCCACAAACAAAGGGCATTTAAAAGGGCGTCGTGCCTGTTTGGATGTTTACTAGGACTTTAAACCAAGTTAAGCTCAGCTGAAGTTGAAGGTCGGTTCAGGTGAGCTTGAAAATGCAGAGTAATTGTGAGTCGGTATGAATAACATGCAGATTTAAATCTGTTTTGTAATGTTTATTCGCTAATTTGGCTTTAGATTAGTTTAGTAAATGCCTCAAAAGCTGGAGCTAAATCTGGATTAGTTGCTTTTTTTCTACACTGGCTACAATGTGGAGTATAAGGGATCCTTTTGATTGATAGAGTGATGCATGCAGCTGTTGTTTATTGGACCTGTTTTTAAATTTACAGTGGAAAGTGACTCTGGGTTATCTAATTCAGTTTACATTCTAAGTGCGTTATATAAACATCTTATTTGTGCATTATTGAGTTACCAAATTGCTATTGTGTAACTACTCAACAAGTCTTCCAAATTTAGAATGATATGTATAAATCCTGTGGTTGCAGGTGTTTTTCTGAACCACTGGGAATAATGTTTCAGTATTATTTATACATCGCATACTTTCATTCAGTTATAGAAGCTGTTTAAATTAGTTTAATTATCTGACTAATTATCTGGTTTTAGTTTCCTATAGACAATAATTGTTGGCTATAATAAGTATTTGAGACAGATGGTTGATGTTTACATCAAGAGCCATTAGAAATGTAACAGGAATATCTGCAATCATCCAGGACTGCTATTTTCTATGTCTACAAAACTTTTTTTCTATCCGAAATAAAGCAAACAAGACTTTCTTCAGAAGAAAAAATATTATCAGACAAACTGAAAATTTCCTTCCTTATTCAAAATTCAAAGGGGGCTAAATTCTGACTTCAACTATATATATATATATATATATATATATACATATATATATATATATATATATATGCAAGATTAAATTCCATACAAATAATCTAATTAATCTAAAACTATGAATTTTTTTCAACAAGGTTGAAAGGTTGAAAGGTTTTTTTCAACAAACATGATATTGCAATGTCTGTTTTTTCCAATATTGTGCAGCCATGAAAAATAAGCAGTTAAAAATAGTAGAAATAGAGAAAAAATGTATGCACACAATTCTTAAACATTTAGTCATTATAAATTACTTTAGTGAGATAAAGTTGACTCAAGACAGTTGACTTGAAGGTATACGCTGTAAACAATAAATTAAAAAAAAATTCTTTGGACTTTATTTATTTATTCTTCTGAATTGCATTATGTGACCTTGATATTTAATCTGGCAACTTTAATGTTGTAAAGTTTAACAAAGTGACTTTTATGGACATTTTTTAGTAGTTTGTGTGGGTTGGCCATTTAAGCTGGCCCTTTTTTAACACATTTTCTCTCATTTTACAGATTTATTTCTAAACATATTATTAATTTTTAAACAATAAATTAATTCTAAAAAATTTATTTAAAATTAAAATTAAAATTTTAAAAATTCCTAAAATTAAAATTAAAATTCCTTTGTTATACATATTAGCATCAAAAGTTGTCTGAGCAGAGATCCCGAAATGCACTTCAGTTACGAGCAACTGTAAAGTTACTGATATTTTTTAGGTTTACATTAATAAATAAACCAAAACATTGATGTGTGGATAAAAATATACTCTTTATTTTACATCTCACTCATTAGGCAAATAGTAATTACCATATAAATTGTAATCAGTATCAGAATTGTAAATTGGCAAACACTTTATGAAAGGACAGTCAGATCAGTTGTTGAAAGCTACTGAAACATATACATGTTGGCTGACCCATATTTTCTTTCTCTGCCAATGTTCTGTAACAGGTCTCTTTGTATCTTGTTTCAGTGTAAAGCACAGCCTCAGGTGTTAGACATCAGTTAGAGGGATAATCACTCTCTTCATGCATCAGCAGCATCACATTCAATATTGTTTGTAACATTATTCAGGCGGAAATTGTACCATGTAGCCAGACCGATCTTTTTTTAGATATGTGACATTTTGTTCAGAATTAGTGAGATTAGGCATATATATGTACTACAATATATGCACATATAAAAATTTTAAGTTTAAAAAAAAAAAAAAAAAAATTAAACCACATTTTTTTAAGCTGTTTTGAGTGGAAATGTATGGAAACCTGTTTCTGCAATTGAATAAAAAATGTTTATTGCACTCACAGTCAAATAGACAATAGAAATAAAAATTTATTGAGTTGGAAAGCAAAACAATTTTTTTGTATAAGTAAATGTTACATATCTGACCTTTTTCCTTTCAGAATCAAATCATATATACAGTAATGGTCCGAAATGCAACTTTGTTGAATTGCGAGATAATGTCTTGCCGATTTGACTTTATTTTCACAGAATTGCAAGTTTATGATTTAAAAAAATGTTTATAGCCTGAAAACTGACTGATATTCTGTGAACTTGAAATTGTGAGGGAAGAAAGTTTGAATTGTCTTAAACCTTTTTTTGTCAGATATAAACTTGGGACCATGAGACGTTATTCATTGTGAGCACAGAATAAAGCATGTTTTTTTTGGTCATCTTGTGTATGTACACAGTTCTTAAGTAAATCCTAAAAAATTCCTAAAAAAAAGTCCTATCAGATATAGACTACTTGTAATTTGCCTTTTTGTACATACGTTTACTAAAAATATAAAACCATATCATGAAATACACCTTTGTGGTGACAAAAAGTGAATCATTTCTCCACAAGTGCTTTTTGCAATTTAGCTGTAAACACACTAAAGAACATGTGGTTATGTGATGAGGATGTGTTGTTGACGAGTCTTGATCACCAGCCACTCACTATTCTTTGTTCTCTTTTCTAATGACATGCTAAGCAACGTTGTTCCCTGCCTCAGCACCTCTCTTCATCTCCCCTTTCACTCATTTTCATTTGCAGGGCTCTCCAGCAGAGGGCACAGGGAAATTTGATGCAGCTCCTGGTAAGCATGCCACACTTTTATCCAGTTTCTTAAGGCTTCACCGGCCCGCCTGACCTTTATTCACAATTACATGAATAAAACATTCAAAGCAATTGCAACACAGATATTGACAAGAGCAGCACATTTTTTTTAAAGCTTGACAGTTTTTAATATGTATATACTCACAATTTATTAATAACAGATATTCATTAATCAGAGCAACACGGCTGCTGTGAAGGCTTTGTCAAAGCAATTTAAACCAAAATACACAATGACACTCTATCAAACATCTACATTGAAAAGTAATATGGTTACTTACTAAGATATTAATACACAGCAATACCACACAAAGAAATGACGGACTTTGAAGAAATAAACAAAGTCAGGAATGCTCCCTTATAGTGCAGACAAATTGGTCAAGCACCGGACAAGTCTGGGGAAGTTCCCACGCATGCACGAGGCAGGCAGATCTGTACAGTTACGTAATCTATCGGCTTAAAGATATCGTCCTAACCTTGATATCGGATCAACAATAACATTAAGAATAGTATTTATCGGCCGATAACGATATGGCCGCTGATATATCATGCATCTCTGATATATACAATTGATATATAAAATCCTGATATATAAATATATCAGATATAAGATATATAATATATACAGTATATAAAATTCTATCAAAAATAGAAATGTCTCTTTACATCCATCTATCCAGTCTAGTCTAACATCAGCAATTTGATTAGTACACTTTAAAGTATCATTCGAAGTAACGCTCTATTTTTTTTTGATAATAGGTTTTTATAACTCTCGGAGAGTTTAACAGTCGTTGATTTCATTCAGCGGATCTGGTGGGAGCACTTTTAGCTTAGCTTAGCATAGATCATTGAATCAGATTAGACCATTAGCCTCTTGCTAAAAAATAACTAAAGTTTCTGTTATTTTCCAATTTCCCACTTCCAACTTGAGTCTGCGGTAGTTTTATTGTGTACTAAGGCAGACCCGAAATGATAAGTTGCTATTTTTTAGTCCGACATGTCTAGAAACTATACTCTCATTTCTCTGTAATAAGCCAGAAACTGCTGCCATACCATGGCTGCAGCAGGCACAATGATATTACACAGCCCTTGACAATTATCTATGCTAAGCTAAGCTAAGCTAAGCTAAGCTAAAAGTGCTGCCGCCAGAGCTGGAAATTAGCTGAATGGATTTTTAAAATGGTAAAACTGTTTAACTCTAGGGCAGTGGCTTTAAAAATGTGGTACGTGTATACCACTAGTGATAACACAGATGATAACACCGATATGATCAGTAAAAATTTTTTAATAGGCTAAACCTTTTACTTTATTTTCAATTTTCCAATGTTTGTTATGTATTCTATCATTTGAAGCTAATTTTCTCCCCATATTTGTAACAGTTGTTGGGGGCATATCCTGCATTTTTATATATTCCAATGATGACAGGTAAAGTTGAATGAATTTTCTGACACACAAAGCCTAAGCAGATCTGAATTCATATATTTAAAATACAAGTTAATGTTTAGATTTCAAAGATATACAAATAAGTCATATGTACATGTAACATATATTTTAAAATATACCAAGGAACATTTCCAGGTTTTGATTAATAGGTTACTATTTGTTAATACTTTACATTCAAGTACTGCAGTTTTCTTTTTACTTTTTAGGAACAGTGCCATTTTTAATTAGGTTTTGAAAGCATGTTTTAATTTAAACGTTGACGTTTTACCTGTTTTTTTTTTTTTTTTTTTTTACCTGTAAGCACAGTACAGTGTTAATGTTCGATCTTGTTATAATGGTTAAAGTGGCTGACAATAATAAATATTCATAATTATAAGATTTAATCTACCCTACTCTATTTCAATAACCTGTCATTATGGTGGTACTTGGAGGAACAATTATTTTCTGAGGTTGTATACTTGATGAAAAAAGTTTAAGAACCACTGCTCTAGGGTATTTTATACAATTTTCAAAAAAAGTGGAGTGTTCCTTTAAGCCTCGATCAAAACATTAATATATAATAGTAAGGAATAAAAGCTGTCTCATGTCTTGATGCAAGCGACTTATGAGTAAGCAATCACAAACAGACTCTCTCTGTCTTCCTCTCTGGCTTGAGTCATTGTTGAATCAGGATTTGCACTGCCAGGCCCCCATTTCCTTCCGTTCATCCATCTTTCCTTGATATTTGTGCCAGCCAGCGGAGAACACAGTGATTACAATCTTCCTAGAACTTAAAAAGCCCTCGGGTCACTGTATGACCATTAATAATGCTGTTGTTCTCAGCAAAGTCTAATAGTAATTCGGTAAAGCTAATGCAATGGTTCTCAACAGTGACCAAAAATGTCACAGGGAAGGTCGAAAGTAATGATAAATGCAATTATAATAGCTATTTTTGATAGCTTTTACCCTTTTTTTCCCATCTCACTCATGTTTGTATGTGACTTAAAGCACGTCCACCCTGTAGGCGCACTGTATCTGCTGTGCGAGTAACACCGTTGAGGATCATGAAGAGTTCTCCTGACCTCATGCCTACTGGTAAGAAGAGCATTTGGGGATTTTCGAGTTTAATGGACATTTTGCATGCTTTACTTGGTGCTTTGAAAAGATTAAGTGAGTTTTGTTGGTTTTTCAGAGCTGGACCCGACCCGTGTTTGCAAGGGCAAGGGTGCAGTTACTTTGAGGGCCACGTTAGTGCACATCGATGATGAGGACGGCACAAGCCAAGAGCCATCCGTCAGCCCTGCCAAAGGTGAGTCGGCAATGTATCATTAGGAGAGTGCTCTGAATATATTTCATGAAGCAGGATTAAGACTGAGAAATTGATTTTATGGTTTAATTTGAATGCAATGTTTTGCTCTTGTATTTTATTATTATTGAGGAATCACAGTTTTTAATAAAAAACTTACAATTAGACATATTGACAACATGCCAATATGCTTGGTGGTGCACTTGATTAGCCAAGAAACTTATCCATTTGAAAATAACTACTTTGATGTACAGTGCATGACTACAGATGTGCCCATGTTTTGCAATAGTTTTTAAGCAGTTTGGACAAGGCCTTAAAGTACTATTTCCACAGAATGCATAATAGCAGTAGCATTTGCCTTTAAAGAGTGATGATTTGTTTTACATTTACAAATTTGACCACTTTATGTGTGATGCACTTGGATTGAAACTTCTGTCAGTTTGACGACTATGCTTAGCCACGCCCATCCAACAATTAGTTTTCAGTGTGTGAAAGATGATAGAAGGAATGCAGAAATAAAACCCAGCCCCCTACTCAATATTTAATTTCAGTTGTAAATCATATTGACGTAAAAATCAACAACAAGTTCTAGTTCACCCGAACCTTAAATGGACGAAGTCTGATGTCAAACATCGAAATGTCATTCTCAGAAACAGCACACATTCTGGCTTCAAAAGTGGTGCACAGGTGGTAAAACGATTAACTGTTGTCCAGCCGTGTGTCACCTACAGCTCACTGATGTCAAAGGGCTGCAGAGACTTGAGCATTGATCATAGTGACTGAAGGGTCACAGTGCAACAAATCACCAGCAGCTACAACAGTGGTGACCAGAGTAATGTGTCAAAGCACACAGTTCGTTACAGAATTCTGTGTAGCCGATGACCTAACCAGGTCCTCATGGCAGCTGTACAGCATTGCCAATAAGGCTTGAAATTGGCCTAAAGTTATCAAGATGGAACTGTTGATAGGTGGAAGCAAGTGGCCTAGAATGATGAAGCAATATTGCTGGTGCATCATGCCAATGTGTACAAACACAGTGATTATCAACAGAGGCTACGGCACTGGGAGACACCATTGGGCAACAACAACCCACAGCAGCAGTTTTATGCTGTGGGTGATGTTTTCTAGGGACGCATTAAGCCCCATTATCCCAACAGCACAATCCCTGACAGCTGTCAGGAGTGTGATTATTGATACAGTGCATCCATTCATGGCAACAGGATATTGCAACGTGCCAGACTGCCAGTGTCATCAAGAATGGTTTTAAGAAAAATGTAGCTAAATTTCTGTTAATGCACTGGTCTTAGAATTCACTTGACAGGATCCCAGTCAAATATTTAGGGTTTAACTTGGAAAAACAGGTGAATGCTGAATCAACACCACAATATATGGAAACTGGAGGTACTAATTTTGGGATTATGGTACCATATTTCACAGAAAACCTACTGCCACCAAAGTAAATCAATGTGACTGCTGTTTTGTGGGCCAAATAGGTTGCACTTGTGACTAGCTGTGTGGCCATAATGTTATGACTGACGTGTATTTAATTTAATTTAATTTAATTTAATTTAATTTAATTTAATTTAATTTAATTTAATTTAATTTAATTTAATTTAATTTAATTTAATTTAATTTAATCATTTTCTTGTCGGCTTAGTCCCTTTATTACTTTCGGGGTCCCCACAGCGGAATGAACCACCAACTTATCCAGCACGTTTTTACGCAGCGGATACCCTTCCAGCTGCAACCCATCTCTGGGGAACATCCACAAACACCCATTCACACACACTCATATACTACAGACAATTTAGCCTACTCAATTTACCTGTACCGCATGTCTTTGGACTGTGGGGGAAACCGGAGCACCCGGAGGAAACCCATGCGAACGCAGGGAGAACATGCAAACTGTACACAGAAACGCCAACTGAGCCGAGGATCGAACCAGCGACCCCATCGACATTCTTGCTGTAAGGCGACAGCACTACCTACTGTGCCACTGCTTCGCCCCTAATTTAATTTAATTTCATTTAATTTCATTTAATTTCATTTAATTTCATTTAATTTCATTTAATTTCATTTAATTTTTTAATTTTATTTTTCATTTTTAAATTAAATTAAATAGAATTTTTATTTCATTTTCATTTATGTATTTATTTATTTATTTATTTTTTGGAATCTGGTAGCTACAAAACATGCACACTAAAAAGTAATTATTAACTGGATAAAATCTCTATTTATAGGAGTGGTGCTTTCTAAAGCATCCTCTTGACACATTATTTTGACAGTCAATGGGGATTATGTGGTTATTTTCCAAACAGATCTAAACTGTGCTGTAAATCACACAGAAAATTTTGTATTCACTTGAAACATGAACAGCATTGTTTGACAGTCAGCTTCATTGCTCAAATAACTGTTCATATTAACAGGGGACAATCAAAGATGCCTTTTGTTCACACCCACTTTGAGCTCTGGAAATGGGGACCTTCTGCGTGGACGTTTTCTCCATCTCTATGGTGGAACTATCATGGCCGCCTGCCAGCACTTGGGAGAGATGCCTTAATTGTTGTTGTGCCTGAATAAAAAGGCCATTGGAACAAACACTTCTTACAGTGGGTTCAATGGTCCCCTTGTTCTCGTGACAAAGTTCAGAGACTCGTTTTTTTCCAGTCATAAATTAGCATCTCTGTGGAGGAAGACTTTCTGTGTGGTTCAGTTCTGACAGATTCTGGCTGGCGATTCGCTTAATGGAGGATTAAGGAATCTTGTTGTGGCATAAATTCTGGTTTGTGCTGGAAACAAACAGCATCGCTGCCAAGCGCAGGCAGCTTTACTTCACATTTATGACTTTTTAGGTTGTAAGAAGTTCCTTGGAGATGCACAGATCCTATGAGAATGCAAACTGTTTGGGTTTGTTGCAGGTGGATGGATTGGTACGGTCAATGGAGATGCCACAGAAACAAGTCTGGCTGAGAGAAGTGTAAACAACACCAGAGCTGATTTAAATTCAACTCAAGTCAATGAGACACCGACTAAGGTGAGTCACCATGTCTGAGCCTCTTCTTTGTTAGCAATTCTTGGCTGTCTTGCAAAAATGTCATTTAGAAGCTATTATAAGTGCTAATTAAACAGAGATGACTCTGAGGAACTCCTCAATTTTTAAGCCATTTAAAGTGTAGAGACTTAAATGTTTCCAATATTTTAAAAGGAAGATGGCATTTCTAGACCTATTTTATATTCAATTAAAAATTTCCCAGTTTAAGATAAAAAAATGCTCTTAAACTGCATGATGTGACCTCGCTCTCTGCTTTGACAGCTTTTGATATTAAACAGTTTAACAGAGTGACTTCTATTGACATTTTTTAGTTGATGAAATGATGTTGGTCATATAAATTACAGAATTGAGCTAGCTGCTACTACTTTTTTTTTTTAAATGGAAATTACAGTTTCAATATCAAGTTAAATTTATAGTATCAAAAGGTGAAGCAACCGAAGTCAAGGTACCATAATCACTTTATGCATTCATTAAATTACTATCTGCTGTACTAATTAATTCCATTAAAATAATGATAAGTTTTGTTAGTGAAAAATTTGAATGAATAAAATATTAATATTAACTGGAAAACATGCAACAAATGAAAATGTTGCCTTTGCAACTGATTGAATCAAAATAAAGTTGAAGCTAACTAAGTAAAATGACCAAAACTAACACTAAATAGAAACTAAATGAAATAAAACTAGGGCTAAACAACAAACGCAAAATGACTCAAACTAAAATGAAAATGTGATTAATGATTTAATTAATTAATGATGATTAATAATTACTAAATAGAATAAAGATATTAATACATTCTGGGATATAATTTAAATATAAAAGTAACACTACCTGTTTAGTTATTTTTAATACAGGTTTTTATAAACTAATCATTAAAACACATGGTTTTGATGACATTCTATATGAGACACAATTAGAAGTAATCAAATGAAGTGTTATTGTGCAATTGTTATTGTCTTCAGCAGCATTGCAGATGAATCTTTGTGAAAGTCATTTGCTTGGGAGAGATGCTCAGTGAATGCAAAATCTATGTAAATCCTCACTCAAAGGGGAATCCTGGGAAATTTAAAGTTGTCTATATTAGCTCACATCCAGCATGTGTCACTGAAGTCGTGTGTGTCTCCTCAGCAGGATTCTGCTGTAAGTGAGAGTCAGTTTCAGCTCACGTCCTGCCTTGATCAGCCGAGTGCTTTTAACTCATCAGCCAAAGTGTCCTCTTCATTCCCTCCGACCAGCAGCGTCAACCCTACAATCGTCCTGCTGCAGCACAACAGAGGTAAATACAGTACCAGCCTCACTATACCTCAGGTGGGACATCAGAAGTAAAGTATCAAATCATGATACACAACTAAATGCATTTGATCATTTTTTTCCAGCTATATTTGAGTTAAGTCAATGGCATCTGTGATTTGATGGACAAGATCTCTGTAGGTGTTATCAAAGCTGCTATGAAACATTTTTTTTGTGTGGTAAGATGGAACTTAACGTTTTCCATTAGAAATTGATTAGATGGTAAGATTGTGGTTATTTGCGAGTCTCATGTAACTGACAGGTTGTCCTGTCCACTGTCAATGAAAAGGATCAGGGAAGATATGTTGATACAATTTGTTGCATTGGAATTACAAGGTTCTATTAGTTTTCTAAATGATTTTGAGATATTGAGCTTTGAAGTTTTGCATTTCATATAGCAAACAATATGTGTGTAACAGTTCTCTTTCATACATTAACATGACAGAGAGCTTGAATATATTCTTAATGTAAAGGATCAAAGTTCTCTTCAATTTGCAAATTGGGGTAAAAATAAAAACAGGGCAAATGCAGATAGAAGCTTCTAATTCAAGAAAGTAATTTTCCACTTGGAATAATAAGGTTCTGTCTGGTAGATCATTAATTGAAGCATTACTTTAAAAAAAATACAGAAAATCTGTCTGCTTATTAATTCAATACACATAAATAAATAAATTGGTGTTGTAACAAAATGTTGATGATTGAGAAAGTTACATTTTTGCTTTCCATAACATTGATGTAATGTTTCAGGATGAAGATTTTTTTCTTGATCAAATTAAGCATACAGTGTAAGGTTGTGCTAAATATTTTGTCCTGTGCAGATGTTAATTCTATGTAATTAATATGGTAATATTTATTGTTGTAATTAAGACCCCATGAATCAAATTCATTATTTGCCCTTCAAAGCTTAATATCAAATTTAAAGACTTTAAAAGAAAACAGACAATTCGCAAATGAGTTGTTTGACAAAGTTTTATAAACACTGAAAAAGTTTCACTGATTATACACAAATTAAAACATTTCATACTTAATATAAGTATATATATTAGAAGGTCGCTGGTTCGAGCCTCGGCTGAGTCAGTTGGTGTTTCTGTGTGGAGTTTACATGTTCTCCCTGCGTTTGTGTGGGTTTCTTCCGGGTCCTCTGGTTTCCCCCACAAGTCCAAAGACATTCGGTACAGGTGAATTGGGTAGGCTAAATTGTCCATAGTGTATAAGTTTGAATTAGTGTGTATGGATGTTTCCCAGAGATGAGTGGCAGCTGGAAGGGCATCCGCTGCGTACAACATATGCTGGATTAGTTGGCAGTTCATTCCGCTGTGAACTGCAACCCCAGATTAATAAAGGGCCTAAGCCGATAAGAAAATGAATGAATAAATGAAATGTAAACAACTTGTACAAAAACATCACATAAAGTAAATAAGTTGTCATTTAATAAGAATATGAATAATTCAATTTTGACAAGAATGTCAGATAGAACCTTACAATTCTAAGGTGGCGAAGTGGTAAGGGAAGTAATTTTGATTAAATAATTCAAGAAATAACAACTTGCACAGGTCTACAATATATACTGAAATATATACTGTTGGATTTGCTCTTCAGTGTTTCGGCTTTCAGCAGTAGCAAGTTACACTGAACTGAACTAAACTGAACTTCAACTGTGAAAACTGGACTGAAGCAAGTTTCAATTTTTAGACCTTCATCTACAATAAGCTGCAATTGAATTGAATTGTTTTTTTTTTATTATACTGAAATATTTTAATGAAAATGCCTGTAAATGATGCAATGCTGAAATCAAGAAGTCACTGGTTTTAATTTAGTTGTGCATCTACAGTACAGTGTTTGCTGTTTTTTGAGTCTGCAAGTGCCTGTAGCCATTCACTTGCATTTTATGGATCACCGAGGCCCATGGTTTCATCTATAGGTAAATACATTTTTATGTGTTGCTGGAAAATAAGAATAACCAGCAAGTGAGTCTATTAAAAGCAGTTTTTATTTTTTGTTTGAACAATCCCTCTAAATTCTTCAATGATACCTTTGAAGTTAGTGTGGCCATTGTGTATCTCATGATGTGTTTTCGTGGTTTATTCCCAGTGTTTGTGCTTATGCGTTTCAGAAGCTGTGGCAGAGCAGGGCAGTGGCCTGTATCAAGGTCCTGCCATCATCCAGAACAGACCTTCATCTGAGACTCCAGCAGACATGGAGGGAAAAACAATGAGCCTGTCTGAACGTCCAGCCGTCCAGCCACCCAGAGTCCCAGTACGGGTAAGAAACACCCGCTTCTAGTGCTCAAGATGCTGATGTCGAATTTGTAGTTTTGGAGACTTTTTAACTTTTAGATCCAACTAACTTCTGTAGTTCTCCAGCTGTAATTGTTATAGTAGTTGTAGTTGTAATGCAATTCACAACCGTAACTTGTGAATCACAAAGTATGCAAGCTTGGATATGGATATGGAATATAATAGGAAAACATGGATCGTTTTTACAGTACAAGTAAGATTGGCTTATGTGTTTCCTCAAACAGTTTAATTTAGGATACAATTAATCTTGATTAATCTTTTGAAAGCACTATTAAAAATATTTAGCAATGTTATTTGTAGGGGTGCCAGTATTTTTGGTAAATTTGTGCTGGGTTTGCAATTGTTTGTTCTTACAATGAGACCAGAATGTTTAGGCTCAGATTTACCAAGGGTACAAATATTTGTGTAGGCCACTATAAATAAACCACCATTTCTTCTTCTAGAACACTGAGCTCTCGAAGGACTGGTACAGAAACATGTTCAAACAGATTCACAAAGTCCCAGGTAAAGATGCTCTGTGAGAATGACATGCATTTAACAGTTTTCATTGTATTGTGTGTGAATATGTCCCGGTCATATCTCAGTCATGTATATATGTGTGTATTCATCTTTGTCAGTGTGTTTTGTCTTTCATCCACCTTAAATTCAGAGCCTGTTGAAGAAAATCCATATCGTCCCACCTACATATTCCCAGAGACCAATGACAGGCCCCTGAGAAGCAGAGGTATATTAGAAATAGTTATTATCTGATCTTTAATAACAAACCAATTTTATTTTTGTTGATGATTATATCTTTTATAGAAATATATTTGATTTGAGAATCAATCTATCAGTCTATCATGCTATCTATCTATCTATCTATCTATCTATCTATCTATCTATCTATCTATCTATCTATCTATCTATCTATCTATCTATCTATCTATCTATCTATCTATCTATCTATCTATCTATCTGTCTGTCTGTCTGTCTGTCTGTCTGTCTGTCTGTCTGTCTGTCTGTCTGTCTGTCTGTCTGTCTGTCTGTCTGTCTGTCTGTCTGTCTGTCTGTCTGTCTGTCTGTCTGTCTGTCCGTCCGTCCGTCTGTCTGTCTGTCTGTCGGTCTGCCGGTTGGTCTGTCGATCTGTCTGTCTATCTATCTTTATCTTCATTTATCCATCCATCCATCCATCCATCCATTCATCCATCCATCCATCCATCCATCCATCCATCCATCCATCCATCCATCCATCTATCCATCTATCTATCTATCTATCTATCTATCTATCTATCTATCTATCTATCTATCTATCTATCTATCTATCTATCTATCTATCTATCTATCTATCTATCTATCTATCTATCTATCTATCATCTATCTATCGGCGTTAATGTCACCTTTAATAGATTTAATAAGTTCTTGCTGGATAAACATATTCATTAAAAAACATTTATGACTTTTGCAGTTACTTAAAAATTGATCAATTTTAGCCTTTTGATGATGAATTTACCTCAATCTTCCGTCCATTCCTTCACAAATCCCAATATTCAATAGCAGCTGATTTATACAGTGTCAGCGAATTGATTGTACTAAAGTAGCATCACTCAAGGTGAGCTGTGGTTATAGAGCTATTTTCACCACACTTTCCACACCATGTATTTAAATCTCATAGATTGATCACTTTCATTTTAAGAGCTTCCTGTGATGTGTTTCATAGCTGTGCTTTTAGAGAACCACTAATCTAAATTATTAAAGAAGCCACAACAAACCTAATGGATTCTGAAGAATGCAAAATTAGACATGAGCTGCTCTAAAGTATTCAATTCAGCCTGTATTTACTGAGTAATCGCCATTAAAATGCCTAATGTGGTGAAAACGTCTTGTCATTTACAGTTTTTCTTAGTCGCTTTAGTGCATTTTTGACAACACTATTTACATTTGCGCAACAGTTAATTAATTTCTCAAAACTATTAGTAGAAACTGCAAAACCTATAGTTGAAAACCCGCAACAGCATGTCACTTGCTCAAAATGGAGAGCTCATTCCTCAAAAGCAAGTATTCAGTGCCATCAAGATGAAAAGTCCTGACACCATTATGAACAAGATAGTCAAATGGCTTTGTCATGTTTTCATTATGATAGTTTACCCTGTAAGTTTTTCCAATGCAAAAAAGTCAGATTTTGGTGACACTTCCTGAAAATGCTCAAGACAGCACTATATACTATTTGCACAGCCTTTTAAAAACTACAGTGAAGTTAGACATCACTGCATTTAGTAAGGTATCTGAGTACAAGACAGTGAATATGTATGTTTCACATTTTTACTGCATATGCTCTTTGCAATTCTAATTTATGCACAGCATTGTGCAGAATAATAAATACACCCTTATTTACAACAAACATAAACTTCCTTTGGATAGAGCTTTGCACAACTGTATACAATATTGCAGTATTGGAACTGAACCTATACATACATAGGTCTGTAAATCATTCATGAAATTGTTCAATATAGAAGACATTTTCAGGAAAAAAATATTTAAATTTGTTATAAAAATTAGCTTGACAGATTTTGACAACTAGTTTAACATTTTTGTATGTAATGACTAAAGTAATGAAATTAGGACTATTCGGGTAATTTGGAATAACTATTCAGCATTCACATGTGTAGTTAATTTTGACTAGCATGACATAAGCAAATGATAATTTTATAAAACAGCAGATAGTTGTATAAAAGCAATTGATGCATGTCCAAAAGCAATGCAATTTGTTGGAAGGAATGAGAAACTGCTACTATGATGTGCACAGATGACTAATTGTTTTGAGAAATGCAATAACTGTTGTGCAAATGTAAACTGTGCCACTGAGTAAAACTGTAAAGTAAAAGACAGCAGACTTTTCATAAAGTGCTTTATTTTTCTGTCTAATGTAATAACAACATTTAAAATAAACTTTTAAGTGTTATGTTTGTTGCACATTATCAATGTCTGTTAATGTCAGTTACAAAATATGTTTGAATGCTGTTTTGTCAAATTGAGTTTTTTTCCCCCGCTACTTCACTCCATATTTTTCCACTTCAGTAGATCTTACAAACACCAGACTTCACAGTTGCATTCATAGATGTATCCTAAAGGTTATTAGAAAGGGATATGTGCATAAACATATAATAATTAAATAACACATTTTGTTCAACAATATATATATATATATATATATATATATATATATATATATATATATATATATATATATATATATATATATATATATATATTTACTTATTAATTTATTCATTTGGAGTATTGTTTTTAAACTGTGGAATGATAAACAATCAATTCCCCAAATTCCCTTTGTAAAACATTTGACTAAAATATGTAAAAAAAAAAACAATAAAAAAACGTTTAGATTTAGACTCTTAGATTTCTGTGCTAGAAATAAGAACATGTTGCGCTTTATTTGCATATTTATCAAAGTATTTTAGAAAGTTTGTAATACAAAATATTTACAATCATAATTTAATAAATCAACTGTGAAAGTATGATGAAAATTATTATTATTATTATTATTATTATTATTATTATTATTATTATTATTATTATTATTATTAGTAGTAGTAGTAGTAGTAGTAGTAGTAGTAGTATTTGCTAGAACGGCTAACAGAATGTTCCAGCATGAGAAAAACACACCGCTGGTTTGTAGCGCCATCTGCTGGTGTGAGGAAATAAAGAGGCCTTGTCGTGGATCTGTTGTTTACCTGATAATTATTTCTATCGCACGAATCCCTTTAATTTAAACTTACTCAGTGTTAGATGTTTTGAAAACCTTTCGGAGAAACTCATATAGGGCACACGCAACAAACTGCTTAGGAATGTGTTTGATATGAATGCAATACTGTAAGTTCCATGTTTTCCAAATATTTTATAAACATGTTGTCATGTGTTGTCTTTTTCATTATTATTATCAATTATTTAGTGTAACAAGTCTTTTCTTCCTTTTCCAGATGATAGACCTTCATATGGTGGTGAGGATGGTAAGTAAAAAACAACACATAGGCTACTGTATTTTCCAGAAGCTGCTTTTAATCACCCAAAATGTAAATCACCATGATTCTGAATAAACTAACAATGATGATTTGTTTGTTTTGCTTAAAATAAAGATCTTTCTTTGATGAGAGATTCTCCCACAATTTTGAATAGACAAAAAAATAACAAGTAGACAAGTATTAATATGAATACACATTTATTTAGACAAGTATTTTGAATAAACAAGTATATTGGATAGACAAGTAAAAAATTTAGTCTTGTTTTTGCGTATTAATACTATATGTTCAACCCTATTTTTTATGTTTTGAGGACTTGAAATATTTGAGTAAAAATATGTTTAGAATGTATGTAAAGTTAAAGATTTTGTTCACCTATTTCACATTATAAATGAATGAAATGAGGTGACTTGAACAACTTCTTTCTCTTTAAAATGCAAACTCAAATTACCCCTTGGAAATTATTTTCTGGAAAATAGAGCAGAATACATGTTTTTATATAAAGTGAAGAAGTGTTTGTGTAGTTCTAATTTCTGTTATTTTAAAGTTCGGACAGTTCCTCGCTCCAGGAGTGCTGTGGACATGGGGAGCTCCAGAGGACAGCAGCCTGTGCCAACACGAACATCTTCACTCAAACCTCAGAGGTTAGCAAACAAAACTCATGATTTATGAAGATGATTCCAGCACATTTATTGAGTGCTGTTCTGGAGCTTTCATATGAGAGTGTGAGTTCTTGCACAGTGCTGGTGTTGCTCAACATAGACATGATGACATTTCTTCAAGTCTTTAATATTGGAAGTATTTCACCATTTGTCATCCTGCTCTGACAAGCATGTGCGGGCTTACAGATTTTACTGTTTGCTGTTAAAATTCACAATGGCTTATATATAGATGTTACCTGTTTATTTTAGTCATCAGTGTTCACCAGCAGAGAATTTATTACCACACGGCGGCTTTGCCTTGTATCTGAGAAAATAATATTAAGATTTATAGAGTAAAGTGAAACCTAAAATGTTTGAGATTATTGAAAAAAAAAGTTATCAGATTTCAAAATTATAAAAGGAGATTAGCATGTTTTATCATACTGAAAAAAGACATAATAAAAAACTGATACAGATTCAACATAATCATGAGAAAAATATGATATAAATACTAAATACTAAATACTAAAAATATTTATAAATACTTTGGTATTTTAAGAATTAAAAGTTAATAATTTAATTAAAAATTAATCCTATTTCTGGCGACGCAGTGGGTAGCACGTTCGCCTCACAGCAAGAAAGTCTCTGGTTCGAGCCTTGGCTGTGTCAGTTTACATTACTGTGTGGAGTTTACGTGTTCTCCCCTTGTTAGCTTGGGTTTATGTGTGCTCAGGTTTCCCCCACAGTCCAAAGACATGTGGTATAGGTGAATTGGGTATGCTAAAATTGACCGTAGTGTATGTGTGTGTGTGATGTTTCCTGGTGATGGGTTGCAGCTGGAAGGGCATCCGCTGTGTAAAACATGTGCTGGATAAGTTGGCGGTTCATTCTGCTGTAGCGACCTCAGATTAATAAAGGGACTAAGCCGAAAAGAAAATCAATAAATGAATCCTACTCATTCTGAAAACGTATCTGTAGATCATAAATTATGTAGCCAGATGTACATATGGCTGCATTTCGTCTTTGAAACAAACAATATGGGTCGGTATGATTCAGGCAGCTTTTTGCACTACCAGCTGACAGCTTACCTCTGTATGGACGGCTTTCCCACTGTTTCCACTATGCTCAGTAGCTTGCCATGTACATTTGTGGACTTGAAACGCAGAGAGGAGTTGACCATGACGACATGGTTTTGCAAAGAATGATTCCAGAAAGCGGGTAAGACAAAAAACAGAAGCAAAAAAATTCAAGTGGTGCTCGCTGCAGAGCCATTTGGGCGAGCTGAGCTCCAGCGAGGGGGAGCTTGAGCTCCACCTTTTTTGCACTTCTTCTACGAGTGATGTCACTGGGGGTAGGGTTAGGGGTGGGGTTGGTGTACGCATTAAAACAGCTTACAGGAGGCAGAACGAGAGCTCATGCTCCCCCTTCGCTGGAGCTCAGCTCTGCTCAAATGGCTCTGCAGCGAGCACCCTCTCAAAAAATTTAATAAACGAGTAAGTTACAGGTTAAAACTTGGTAAAATCAGCCGAGGCCTTTTCTTTTTCTGGATTGCTGGATTGAGTTTAGGTAAGTGGGCGCTGGTCAATTGGTGCTTTTGAAAACACTATTGGTTGGGTTTAGGGGAGGATGGTGGTTCAGTTGATTAGTCAGTCAGTCAGTCATTCAGTCAGTCAACAGCGGCCTCTGGTGGATTTATGTGAGAAGAGCAGGCGCAATTGGCACTCGTGAGAGAAATTTGAGATCTGAAAAACCATACACAGTGGCTTCTGGTGGTTTCGCGAAAACTGCAAAAAATCTTATCTCTTGGGACATATTTCATGGAAAAATTATTTAGCTAGAAACTGAACTGCACATTTATGAATCCACACATGCACAGACACACACACAGACACACACACAGACACAGACACACACACAGACACACACACAGACACACACAGACACACACAGACACACACACACACAAACACACGCACACACACGCACACACACACACACACACACACACACATTTATGTCTCAATTCTATACATGTATAAAAATCTGCCTGTTGTCATTAAGTGTTGCTAACATGTATACTTATAAATGATTTTAAAATAAAATAATGAAAAATAGTCATTCTGATTTATGTCTAAATATTGTAGAATATTTTCATCACTGTGTATTAATTGATTACAGTGTTTTTATATCAGAGGTGTACGGCGTGTCTTTAAAAGCATACGCTGCGTGTATTGGAACGTGCCCTTGCCGGTTGCCAAGCGACTCACCTCCTCCTCCTCCTCCTCCTCCTCTTCTGTCTGTTTCTCCCTGCAGGAGTGAGTGGGAGCCCCCTGACAAGAAAGTGGACACCAGGAAGTACCGCGCTGAACCCAGGAGCATATTTGACTACGAGCCAGGAAAGTCTTCAGTGCTGAGGCTGGACAGACCGGTACGATGCTCTTTATTAATGCTTGTGTTTCTAAGTGGAGCTGTGGATCTGTGCATGACGTTTGATGCTGGTTTCTGTCTGATTCACTCACGAGGATTGAACACTTCCAGTTCTGTCTCTCTGTAGTGTGAGAGATTGATAAGACTAGACACTGCAGGCAAAAAAACACAGCTTTTCATGCAATTATTGTGACATTTTAAGCTTTATTTTGGCTTTTGGTGTTTTTTCTCAGTCTAATGTAATGAAAACATTTAAATGTGAGTTTTAATTCTTTCATTTGTTGCACTTTACTGTAACGTGTACTTTTCTTGCTTACATTTTTTATCTTGTTTCTAATCTGAATATTTTAAAAATTCTAAAATTAAGAAGCATTTTCTTGACTAGCAAAAAAACTGTCTTGTTTTAAGAAATACTATTCCAAAATTAAATGAGTTTTTTCTTAAATCGGCACTTCAAAATAACCTGCCAATGGGATAAGCAAAATAATCACGACGATATTAAAAACAATATTATTTTGCTTAATTTTGGCATATTATTTCTTAAAACAAATTAATATTTTTAGCATGTCTAGAAAATGCTTTTTGATTTAATTTTTAGATATTTACACTAGCAACTAGACAAATAACTTTAAGTAAGAAAACCATTTTTTGCAGTGTTTATCAGTTACAAAACATATGGGCTGTTTGTTCCTTTTTTCTACTTCACTGAGCCATAAATCTCTACTTCAGAGGCACTTACATGCACCAAACTTTTACAATTCATATCTACATATTAAAGGTTGGTTGCAGCACAGGCTCATTGTGAAAACATACCCCCGTATACATTTCTGGAGAGCGCAAATTATGTAGCCAGAGCTACAGTACATATGGCTGCGTTTCGTCTTTAAAATTAATGCTACGAGGCAGTATCAGAGGCAGACTTAACCCCGACCAATGCCAAGAAGCATATATTAATCATATAGCTCTTATTTATATGTCGTTAAATGTGTAAATAACTGTTAATAGAAGGGTCTGTTCAAATAAAATAAGATTGTCCAGTGAAAATGAATGGCGGCCGATTCACAAACAGTCATTATTTAATTCATTTAGTTTGATTGATCCTGAATTATTTTTGTTTAAGTGTTTTTTTTATTTATATCAAAATCTATTCACAAAAATGTCCAATTAAGTTTAAATAGTTGTAAATTAGTTAGTTAAAACTTGTTTTTTATTTGTTAATGTATTGCATTTAATTTTACATTAAGAAGACAAAGGTTCCAGGAAATATTAAAATAAATAAAATATACTTAAAATATTTTTATATATATAGTTATTTAAATACTTTTAACATGCAGTTTATTTACAATAATTATAACAATCTACAAAAAAAATCTACTGAGAAAGAGAATGTTTTGAGTTTCAATGCTAGGGCCCCATACCCAGAATTGCTTAGGGCTCCCAAGTCACTAAGCCCGCACCTGGGCGGTATGATGCCATGACCGCTAGTAGCTTGCTACGCACTACGGTGGACTTAGGACGCAGAGAGGAGTTGACTGCGACGACGGGGTTCAAATCTGGCAAAGAACGGTTCCAGAAAGCAGGTAAAACAAAACTAAAAGAAAAAAAAAATAAACAACTAAATTACAGGGTTAGAATGTGGTAAAATCTGAAAACGTGATAAAAAAACAGGTGGCCACGGGAGCTTTTCTTTTTCTGCGTTGCTTTTGAAAACAGGATCTGTTGGGTTTAGGGAAGGGGGTGGGAGATCTGAAAAAGTGTACACAGCAGCCTCTGGTGGATTCACGAAAACAAAAACTGCAAAAAAAAAAAAAAAAAAAACATACATTCTGGGACGTATTTCACGCTGTACAGAAATGTAGTATAGAGGTACATATCAATATGGAGCCTGGGTTAATTTTTTTTAAGAGGGATATAAACCTAACCTGTTTGTTATAATTTGATTTTATACAAAATTGTATTCTACAATTTTTTAAATTATATTTCTTTTATGCTCTTCACAATATTTTCTGAATTAAGAAGTTATTAAAAAAAGATTCCCAAAATTGATACTGTATGTCAAAAAAATTAAACAAGAATTTTGAACATGACATCATCCGATGTTTCAAATTAGCACACGTTAAATTAAATACTGCCTCATTTGCATAGTTAAACATAACCAAAAACTTGTAGAAAACTTGTAATACGCATTTTTAAAATCTATTCTTAACGTAACCAGTCAACTGGGAAATCTGGTGATAATTAGTTCTTTTTTTACCCTGTTCACCTGCAGTGTCTTGTCTTTTATGTAAGTGACCTCGGTAGGTAACTTAACACTGGCAACCTTATAAAGTAGCATGATCTGAAGTGTCTGTATCTGAATACAGTAGGAGGAGCCCTTTCTCAGCTATAAAAAGAGCATCAGTAAGTGACACTTGTAGTGCCCAGACTCTTTGCCGTCTGGTCTTTTTCATGGAAGGTTTGATACTGTGACATTCAGCGATTCGGTCTTGTTAGCGTGACTCATTCTGTGAGCTGCTGCTATTACATAATGTCTTTCTGATGACATACGGCTGTAATAGCTTTATTGTAGAAGTCAAGCAAAGCATGGTGGATTCTGGTCAGTGAAACTACTGAAGCAGAGAAAGTGCGAGATGATGTGTTAGGTCTTTCTTTTTTCCCTAATTGTTAAGGGAACTAATTAAAATGGCTCTGGGTCAAGTCCAATGTAGGACAGAATATAATGTGCTGCCTGTGTTTCCTCCTCTAATTTAGCTTTGCAGAAATAGTACTTGGTGTTTTACTTTTTGGTGAAATTTGGTGTAGTGTATTTCATTTAAACTGTAAATCATTTATTGATTGTGAGGATTTTAAGATGTTTTTAAACACTTGTAACAATGAAAAACAATTGGATCAAACTTTATAATAACTGCACACTATGTATCATTTATTAAGTGTTACACAAAAATAGTTAATTCATCATTTGTTAAGTATTGACTAATGTATACACCAGAATGCAGGGTAACACTTTAGTTAAGGTCCCAATGCACAGTATCAACAAAGCATTTACTAATTATCTTAATAAATTACCTATTAGCTTTTTATTATGTTAGCAAGATAGAAGTTGGGTTTAGGTTTTGGGTAGGATTAGGGATGCAGAATAAGATCATACTTTATAACTACAAATGAACAGTTAATAGCTTAATAATAGGCAGATAATAAACCAGTAGGTAACAGCATAAACTGTGACCTAACCTTAAGTGTTACCGAATGCAGTTTATAAATACAGCTACAAATGCTGACTTATAAACACATATATAATGTGCTTAATGATTATATTTTCATAATTTGCTAATGATACATTTTTCATGATTAAATGAAGTATTGGGATATTTACAAACCAGTTTATTAGGAGTAGTTGGTTCTTTTAAAGATCATTCAGAAGTAAGTAATTAAGTAAACTTTGTAAGTAATTAATAAATTATTCTAATAAACATGCATGCATCTTATTTTCCAGGCGTATAGAAATGGTTTCTCTGTATGCTAATAAATGCTTTATTAACCCAAATTCCTACTGTTTTGTGAGGTCATCTAAAGTTAGGATTATTGATGCTTTATAAATCCCTTATGAATGACAATTAAAAGCTCAGTTACAACAGTGAACAACTGTATTAAATGCAAAATAAGTCTTTGCAATCTTATTTAGAAATAAAAATAGTATAATGTTTAAACATTGCTGAATAAAAGAAGTGGCATAAAACTAAATCTGACAAAACAACAATATAATCATTTAACCATATGAAAAAAATATTTCATTTAAAAAAACATTTCAGGGTTTTTTTTTTTGTCAATGTTTAAACTGTAAATGATTAATTCATAATGTACAGTTATTATAACGTAATCAATTGACATCATTAGCAGAAGTATAAAATTGTGGATTTATAATATTCAAATGTTTATTTTTGTCGTTAAGTTGTTATACAACCTACATGATTTTACTCTAGATCTGATGGATGATTTTCCATCATCATTACTTTGCCATCATGAGATCTTTATGCTTTGTTTCCTGCTCCTTTGATTGCTGATATTATCATCACACTTAGCCATCAAGCCGGAAACAAATCCAATTCATGTTTCCTTCACTGTGTTTGGCTGGAGTCTGTCTTACTGTCTGAGATCATGACGTTCAGAGGTAGTTCATATAACATCATCATTCAGTCTCATTATCTGTGTATTCTGAACCTTCCTCTTTCTCTCTCTTTCTCTCTTCTTTGTCCTTCTTTTCCTTGTTGCCATATTTCTGTAGGACATTAGTCCAGAAGATGTAGATTTAGAGAATGAGCCTTGGTATAGATTCTTTTCTGAGATGGATTTTGGCAAAGCGGTAAGTTAGCAGTATTAAAGTGACCTGTTTTTAATAAATAAAACTGCATGTCATTCTTTTATTTTTGTCCAGTACCCTATATATTTAGTTTAATGTCTGTCTATAAAAACATTCATGTGCCACTTTCTGTCTCTACTCACCTCTCATCTATGTTTTCATCCAGCCCATTGTAGCTCCGTGCATAGCAATACAAAAGCAATGGCATGTTACAGTAGGTTTTTCTCATGCACTGAATTATAATGTTCACAATTATAATGTGCCTCATATTCACGCTTTGAATTATTTGCGGTATTTTCAAGTTGCATGAATGTTCATGGTCAGCATGTCAAGGACAAAAATGTCTATTGAAGTGGAGAACAGGTTTCATTCTTACCTTTTTTATCTCACAAATGACATTAAGAAAAAAAAACTTGATAAGACTTAATATATAAAATATGAATTTGCAATGCTAGAACCTATACTGTATGTAAAGGGCTGGCATATCCAATCAGTGATACTGACAATGCAAATATGCAACTAAGGAGGTTAACTCAGTGTTTAGAGTTGTAATGTGTGCAAAGTCAGATTTATTTTTCAGACAATATTCCAAAGCATAATATTTCACTTTTTACTGCACTACTTTCCATAAATGTAGTAGACAAATGTAGATAAAAAAATATAGTAAAAAGTTATTGTGAACCAGATTTATCTTCAACCATTTAAAGACGATGACGATGATGATGATGATGATAATAATAATACCAATAGGAGTTAAAATGATTTAAGTCCAATGAGGGTTTTTTTGTAAAAATTTAGTATTTGTCCATTAGTAAATCTGCAAAGTGTTACAAAAATATATTTTTTTACCATTTCAGGCCACCAGTAAACCAGAATTTCTATGCAGTTATAACGTGACCAGTTGCTTGAAGTAGTTAACCGCTTCAATGCTTTTTTAAGAACTATGTTACAGCTTATGTGCTTTCTGGGTTTATTAAAATTCATAGTTTCTGCTAGGGCTGCACAATTGTGGCTAAAATGAGAATCACAATTTTTTTTTTGTGTGCTTAGAATCAAGATCCTGATTTTCTCACTATTCTGTAGATGTAAAAGAAGCCTACTTAATATGAGTAGGCTGTTTTTGTTATTTCTCAGAAATATGGTAAAACAACAGTGATAATATTGGGCCTATGTGTAGCTCTACTGTTAGTTAAAATTATAGATTTTATATAGACTTTGAATGGTGAACTTGAATAGACTTCAAATATGTCCTGTTTGTTACAACTATTCATGATTCTAAAGTTGACTTACTGTTTTCAAAACATATGCTTGTCATTTGTCGTTGACAACATTATTAGACAACATTATATTGGCTAAAATAGTTATATGCACAGTAAACATTTATTTTATTGCACAACACTTTGTGTTCGTTTTGAAAGAAAAACAAAACATATTAAATGCTTGTCGAAATCATTACTTTAAAATGTGAAATGATCATTTAAATGAAGTTCACATTGCTGTAACAGAAATTAGCTCATTTTATGAATATTAATAAACAACAATAATGGTTTATTCTTAATTATTAATATTCCGGCTTAAGCTTCAGTCAGTTTGGTCAAACAAACATATGATTGTATATGATCCTGCCTGCTCGAGCGAGCGGATACCCAGATTATGAATATTAATTATCAACAATAACGGATTATTATTAATCATTAATATTCCGGATCAATTTATTGTTAACTTGACCAAACAAACACAAGCAGAGCCGCCGCTCTTCCGAGCGGACACGGTAATGATCTATTCATTTAGGAAAAGGGAATTTAATTGCTACTTCTTGCGAAGTAGATTAATCATTCAAAAGTTTTAAAAAACTTATATTAGCTAGGCAGGGGAATCTGTATTTCAGTGACATTTTCTCGTGAGGCAAACAATACAATTCATTTGATTATAATGGAATTTATTGACTAGTCGGACATAACGAACAAACAAACGCACAAACATACATTAAACACAGAACAAAGGTAAACCACGCGGAGATATCGGGTCTATAGAAGTGTAACAACAAAAAGGAATAGTAAAGCGAGGAGATAGAGATTTCAGATAAAAGAGTGACCAAACTTTCAGTTCCACCCGCACCATTCAGGACCACCAAGATTATAAAAAACACCTTTTTGATAAAAGGGGCACAGCTTAATCGCATAACTAAAAGTACCTGGACTGAATGTCTGGGATCTCTCTCTTTATGCTTCCGTCCTGATGAAACTCCTTTGATGTCCTTCTTGATGCGTTGAGTTTGTAATACAGTTCTGAGGAACGCGATCGCAAACTTTAAACTGAGTTTACTTTGCCGGAAAATAAAGAAAGCGTGGCGGTAAAAAGTCCATGCGGCGTAGAAAAGCTGCGTGGCCCGAAGGCCACCTTTTTGTGAGTTCTTTGTTCGGACCTTCTCTGGGGGATGTTTGGGGAGAAGTCTGGTTATACCTGCGGGTCACGTGACAACCCGTTCAGCATTCTGACCAATGATTTCAGGACAAAAGTTTGCGCGCGAACCTTCCTTTGTCTCGAGGCTCCTCGTATGCAAATTTGAGTGTCCGCCCAAAGCATGCAGACAGGCATTTAATACAGGGGATTAAAGAATAAAGCAATGCGAGTTATGGTCTTGCTCTATGCATCATGTGTTGTAAAATGTCAGCAGAAACCCATCGGTACCAAACATGGGGGGTTTAAAAGTACATCAACATGATTTTTCACATCCTCATATTATTTATGCTTTAAAAAGGCCTAAAAGGAACAGGCATACAGGTTATAAGAGAGGTTACACAGGTAAGAAAAGTCAGAAATGAGATGCAAAGTTTATACAGTAAAACATAACACCTTAGTTTTGTGCTGGTTCAGGATTTGATGAGTTCATTTTCTTTCTGTCGGGACAGCCTCGTGGGTGTGTGTGTGTGTGTGTGTGTGTATTTGGGCAGGAATGTCTTTGAAGTTCCCTGCTTATCTCTCCAGTCCCCCTGGACAACTTAAGCTGTCACGAAAATCCAGACTTCTTGGAGCCAGGAGTCGTAAAACCCATGCGAAATACTCAAATCAAATAGTAAATATCAAATACTAAAATCAATAAGTAATTTTATCTTTGGACTGTACGCTACATTGCTTTCACTTTCAATGCCGAATGCAGCTCATGGCTGCCGTTACTGTGAGAAAAAAAACACACACACGCAAATCACTTACTTTCCACACGGCTCTCAAACGATCGCTCTGTGCAACAATCTAAACATTATTTAAAACTTTATTACCTGTTATTCACAGCCTATGCAGGTTCTGTTCACTAAAGTAGCCGTCATTGGTAGTAAACAAAAAGCTTGTATTCAGCTCAATTGTGATTTGCGGCTGCGAATACATCATTACATTAAGACAGAAATGACATTTTTGGGTGAATTATATATTATAAAATTAGTATGTGACACTTTTAACACCATTTGGAGGTGTCAATGTTGCTGTGAATACTTGTGTGACTGCCTTTATGCTTCTCTCCTGACCTTGAAATTATATGGCTGAATCGTAGAAAAGCTGTATTAAGATCGCGTGTAGAGTCAAATCGAGATCGCTATATTTTATCTATTAATCATGCAGCCCTAGTTTCTGCTAAAGAATGATGTGCAAAACAATGTCCAATATACAGTTACTTACAAAGTGCAATATCACCTCACGGTAGCTGGGGTGTCACTTTGGACAAAGACACATGTCAGTTTTTTTTTGGCACTCAGTTAAAGCTGCTTTCATGTTTTTTTTTTGTTTTTTTTTTTCGCATTGCAGCACTACTCTTTTACATCTTATACATATGCACACTGAGTTTGGTGCCGATATCTCATTGTGTTTAAGAGTTAAAGAATGGAAATGTCAACTCTTAAAAAAAATATTAAACTTTTGATATTTCAGACTCTTGAGTACTGTATATGACTATGCCACTTTGGTTCAGATTCAGTGGTGTAGCGGAAGGGCCCCGTGTGATTACGGGGCCCCACATCGTTGCGATTTTCAATGATTGAAAATCCAGGAACCGCAATAATCAAACTCTTGGGAACAACTGTGGTCGGAACCAAAGTTCACAGAACTGTGTTCTCTGAACTCCTCTCAAGGTGGACTACTTCATTCTGATTGCTTGCCGCCGAACCGCGTCATAGCCAATGAAGACGCGCCGCTGTTTCTCGCCGCCGGTTCTCGTTAAAAAATGAATGACTTCTGGCTACTTTGACGCTCTCGCCGCTTTCGGTTTGTGATCGCTCCTCAGTTTGTTAAGGATTCCCCGCGTTGTCGCTCCACCCCGCCTCATTTCCCCGCTCCTCAATTTGTGACATAGATATATACACTAGATATCGCATAGGGACCCTGAGCATGCGTCAATAGCGCCGCCACATTGGTACAGTGCTTCCAGGACAAATGTCATTCAACCGCACTAGTCAAGACAGTGTTATTACGTGAAGATGCGGGACTTTAGTGATGTCTACGGGTGTAGTAACGAGCAAACAAAGAAAACAAAGCACAAAGGCAGAACATTTCATAGGTACGATTAAGTTTTTTTATGTTTTGGTATGTTCTGAAATTTGTGCTAAACAGATAGGCTAGTTAGCGTTATTGATGATAACAGTCACTTACTGCATTCATCATAAGGCAAAGCAGCTCCAACTCGCACTAAATACTCGGCTTATGCTAGTTTTGTTAAATAAAATCAGCAAACAATGCAAAAGAAATATGACAACGAGATGCTGCGCTGTCAGAAACTTGTATTATTGTCGGCGAGTGAAGGAGTCGTTCATAACGGAGATTCATTCACAAACGAATCACTCCCTCTGTCAGTATGAGAAGATGAAAAACTAAAATTTTTATAAAAAAAAAAAAATTACATACTAACATCCAGGATAACTCCCGTTCATAGGTATATGTTTATATCTCTGGCTCTGACACCCCCCCCCACCCTCATCCCCACCCCTGGCCTTCATCTGGGGGCCCCTTCGGTGATC